CTCCACGCCAAGCCACCGAATCCAGGGCCAGCACTGAACTTTCCAGTGGGCAGGCGCCACGGCACTGCCACCTTCTAGCCCGGCTCTTTCTTTCAACCCCTTTTCCAGAGCTCGGGAAGGAGCAGGCTCTGCAGTTTGGCAGTCTGAGTAAAGCACCCTTGCAGCCCAAAGGCCGCCCCACCGATGCAGCAAGTTGCATGCCCCCAGGCGCTAGCAACCTCGCCCACCCACCCTCAAGCCCTAACTTCATTTCTATCAAACTTACAGCAAAGTTGGCCTCAAGTGGCGGTGGAGGCAGTGCTCTCGAGAGGCGCACACCTTGTCGCCTCAGCGTGCCCCCGAGCGGGGATCGGGTTTGCTGGGGGTCTCACCGGGCTGGCGAGTCCGCATGGTATGGCCAGCACGCCCTGGCCGCTGGCGCGCCCCTCTCCCAGGCAGCAGCTCCCCACCCACGCGCCCCGCTCCCAGGCCGGCGCGGGGTAGATCCCTCCGCCCGCAGCCACGCCCGCGAGCGCCGGCGCTCGTTTCTCCAGTGCGGAAACTCGATCTGACTTTCCCTGGCGGCGGGACTCTGAGCCCGCGGGTACCCGGCAAGGACGTCCCGCTACGGGGCAGAGATCCCCTGCTGCGTAAGCAGCCAACTCCTGGCGAGGAGACGAGCGAGTGAGTGCCCAGGGCGATCTAGCGACACTCCGAAGACCAGTGTGGGGTTGCTCTAGTGCCGATGTTAGGTTACGGCCAGCACAGATTTGTGCAGAGAATATGGAATGTTTCTTGCTAGGAAAAGCGAAACATTAGTTTCGCTCAAAAAAAAAAAAAAAAAGTCAGCTAAGGCAAATGAAAAGCTTCCCACGCCTACCTTTAGAATCTCTAGAACCTTCAGAGAATTCCTAAATCTGCATTTGAGTGCCTCGGTTCCTGGGCTGTAATAGCTGGTGTGGGGGGAGGGGGGCCGCGTTGAGTTTAAAGCTTCCAAAAGGTCTGAAAAGGAATGCAGTTAGAACGGAATCGACTACCTTCTTAAATCTACATTACTATCTTGGGGAAAATGAAAGCGCTCCCTCCGCGACCTCTTTTGCAGAGTTAGTTAGACCCTATAACCTCGCCGACCCTGGTTAGGAACCCCAACGCCGGCCTCCCTCAGCGGACACCCCCGACTGCTACATCTGCGGGACAAAAGGCAGCTGTGCCGCCTCGTGCGCTTTCCCAACCGGTAAGTCACACCCCGCAAGCTGTGAACCCAGTCTAACCTGAAACTACAAGTTCCCTAGGGAGAGAGGGAAGCCCCGGTGTCCAGATGCCCCCTCCGTGAACTCTCCCAACGCCAGAGCGCGCAGTCCGGCGTTCCCGGCTGTGAGCCCATCTCAGCGCCGGCAAAGCTCCAATTGCGGGGTCCGCGCACCCTAGATACAGCCGAAGCCTGGAATGCTCCCGGGCATTGGGAAACAGCCCGGAGAAGAGGGCGGACATGATCTCTGAAAGTTTATGGGGCTCGAACATTTTAACATTGTGAGGACAAAGAGATCTGATTTCCCTGGAACTCGTAGACGGGGCTGCAGGGAGATAGGGGCGAGAAAATTTCCTTGGTTCAAAGTTATTGCAGTCTCCTCTTAAAGAAGGTGATTGAAAAAATAAAGATGTCTAGCAGGTTATGGCTGGAAAGGAAAAATAATGCCTGCAGAATGAGTGTGCTGATTCGTAGCCCTAAGAGAACGTGGTGTATTCCCTGCTCATTATTTAGAATATACACAAACTCGCACACCCAACAAACACTATCATCCAAACACTTGGCCACAGCCATACTGCGCAAAGTGCTCCCGGAGTCACATGTCAATTTCATACTTGGAACACCTCGAAAGTAGGTGACCTGATCTCCAAGATCAACCAGTTTACGACCCTTGCCGAATTCTAACTGTTAACACAACACAATCTCACAAGACACACCAACAGTGTGTGTGGGGGGGGGGCGGGAGTCAAGACACCATCACATAACATAAAATAACAAGATTTTTTAAATAGCACAAAAGAATTCTTGGAGAAAATTACCATTCATTCACATATAATGCTTACTCGAGCTAAAACATGTGTTTGAGAATCCCGATTTTCTAGGCTCACTGAGAAACCTAAATTGCTTGGAAGAAGTTGCACTTATTCGCCATAGGAACAGCCGAGAGCCAGAGATGGAGATTTCCTACTATGGTTCTGCCACGTTTTTTACTGATCCTTTAGCCCCAACGAAACGAAATAGAAGTGTGTTTTTGCTACCATCGAATTCTTTAACGTGACAGAGAAATGTAGTTCAAGCTCCACGTTTGTCCTTTTAATAGTCGACTCTCCCTAACCCTGTCCCCAAAGGCTCTTGGAAATTAGGGGACTAGGGGAACGTTTCCGAAAACGGCGCTTTCCTTCGGCACCGCCTCTGCATCCAGGTTATGGCTGGGAAAGAAAAATAATGCCTCGGAATGGCCCCCCGAGTGTATGGTAAGTGAAGGCTGGGGTGGCGGCGACGGAGCTCAAGCCCACGTCCCAGGAGCAGGTCCAAGTTCGTGGTCCGCGAGGGACCCGGCAGGGAGCGCGCGCCTTGCCAGGTATCCTGACTAGAGGGCGCTGTGCCACTGCGAATCACGCGGCCCCGGATGCGCCCTCCCTGGGCACCGTTTCTATAATAAGTTACGTTCAAAATAATGCACAAACAGCATAGCTTTTCAAGTTCTTTTGAACAGTGCTACGTATTTTATGAATTCAAAAACCTGTGCATACCGATCTTTCATTTCTGAGCCATGCACAGCCACATGGGAGTGCAGCTCGCAGAGCGGAGAGCCTATAGGATGCACACGCTTCACTGCACTAGCTTAGAGCCAAATACCCCACGTAATTTCATTTACTTAGAAACTTAAATACATAAGCTTGTACTAAACAAAGAACTCACCAGTCCACCCGAGTCCTCGGTGCTCCGCTTTAAAGTCCTTGGCAGCTCCGTAATCCTCACGCGATTTGGATATTTGTTAAAAGCCGTGCCTGAAGTACCAACTTTGCCTTCCTCTGATCTTCAGCATGTCCCCAACGAGGGTACGATCCGCCTGTGCTGCCCGGACCCAGGTGGCCACATCTCCGAAGGCGTCCTTTCTGGGTGAAACTTGAGCACCAAAAGAGAGCGAGATTAGAGTGCGCAGGGCTAGAGAGATAGCCAAAGAGAAACCAAGTTTGTCAGGACATGCCCAAGCAGCACGCCCCGGAGTTTGGTAGTTGCGGCCGGGAGCGCGGCGGATCACCGCCTCCTTCCCCCCTCCCTCCCTCTTGGAGAAGCTGGGGGAGGGGAGGTGACGTCAGCGCCCCGCCTCGCTCCTCGCCCCGCGGCTCCGAAGGGATACTCTCGTGGGGTGCGCCTCCGGGACAGTAGCGCAGCCAGCTGGGAGGCTATAGCAGGCTCTCCTGCATCAGTTGCGGTCCCTCCCGTGCAGCGTCTGCCGTTCTCTACTCCGCCGTGTCT